TTCCTAAAAGTGGAAATGCTAGATCCAGGGGTATGCACCTTTTAAATTTCAGTAGATACTGTGAAATTACTTTGATGAGCAGTTGTAGTAAGTCATCACGCCCAAGAACTCGGTGTTGTTTCAACTCACTATTCCCAAAATAGGAATGGTCTCTTTGCTAATCTGATGGGTATAGAATGGTATCTCATTGTTGCTTTGTTTTTGGCCATGTGTTAATTGGCTAGTTGTACTGTCTCTTAGATGAATTAACTGTTAATAGCTTCAGCCTACTTTTGTTGGATTGCTTGCCCTCTGCCCTGTTCTTAACAGTTGGTGGGAGCTCTTTATGTTAGGATTGTTATCTCCCTGGCATATCTGTGGACCTTACCTCTCAGTCTATATTTTTCTTAAACTCATTTAAAGGTATCTTCTATTGGGTACTATTTTAAAGATAGTTTATGAGTAGGAGGTTGTTGTACCAGGTATGATGTGTTACTGAGGAATCACAGAGAGCAACCATGGCCCAAGAGCAGATCCAAGGTGTTTCGCGTCTTAAATTATGATAAGGGAGCATTAGGGGAAAGAATGGATATTTTACAACTTGTTTTAGATATTCGACTCTCCATAAATAAGAGAATAGTTTTCACACCTTATACAAAAAGAAATTTTATATGAATGATTGAATGAATGAATGAAGGAACCTGATTCAGGGATTAGGATCTTTTCCATTTAGAGCTTACAGCAGCACCTTCTGCTTATTTCTGTCACAGTATTTATGTTACACTGAACTTGACCACTGATTTGTGTTTTCTTCTCCATGAGGTTATAAATTCCATCAAGACGGGAGCCACGTCTTACTCATGTAGCACCTTGTTGGCTAGTGTGATGGTAGTGCATATTGGGTACTCCGTATCTGTGGAATTGTGAATGAGCTTCTTTGTCCCTCACTTGTTCTGTGCTCTATCTGCCATTCCCAAGGAAGTTTTGTACAGAATAAAATATAATATGGCAAGCTCTTAACCCTTAAAACTGTAACAGTAATATAGTCAAGACAGGCCCGGGACCTGGATTAGGGTTGGGATAGTGGGTAGTGTAGAAATGGATGGGCTCCACAGACATTTAGTAGGAAGTAGACCCAACAAGACCTTGGTGATTTAGTTGAATGTTGTTCTGAACAAAGGAGAAAATAGAAGATGGACTTGCAGCACTTAGAGATACTCGCTGGGATGTGTACAGAGAAAAGGAGCTCTTCTCCCTTGCGGAGTTTTTATTTGTCTGCTGTTTCTGATCCATTTTGTCTCCCTAATACCAAAACCAGATTGCAAGTGTAGTTCATTTTCAACTCCTTGTTTTTCTTTTGAGAATTTTCTTTTGTGTTTCTTGCTCATTGCTCCCTCCAGTTGCTGAATTCTGTCCTAGTAACTGCTAATTTCCTCTGAGAACAAGGTAGGGAAATAACATGAGCAGGCAAAGCCAGAACTCTGTTCAGCAGGCAGCCCGAAAAGGAAAACAGAATAATGATGTATTTATAATTTTTTTATGCTATCTCAAGGAGGTTTTGTTTACCAGAGAAGAGTTTCAGTAAGGCATGTGGAGAAACTGAAAAGGACTGGATCCAGGGGCTCGGGGTTTGTTAAGGGGAAGCACGTCATAGAATATGGATGAAAGTAGGAGAGAGACAATGACACAAGGAGCCTCACTTTTGAATGTGGCAAAAATGTTGAGAGAACAGTTTTTTAGCAGTTGCCTGGTAGATGGTTATACTCAGACTGTAGGAACCTGGTGTGGCAGGCACAGCTGTTGCACATGTCAAGACAGGAAGCTTTTGATGGAGGAGCCTTTCGTCTTTTTGTCCTCTGAGTTTTTATTTTTCCTGTGTTTGGTACCAAAGAGTCCTGATTGGCACCTAGGAACTGTTGGTTGAAGGGGTAAGTTATGTTTTATGATTTTCTATGTGTAAATGTTCGATTTCAGTTTCAGTAGGAAACTTTTTTATTTGAAAAGTTTTTGCATTTGCTTTTCTGCTCAGAGTACTTTAAGATGGTAGCTGTGGATTTCTTCCCCGCAACCATTGCCACTTCTAGTGACATGTTTATGCTAACACTGTTCTGTTACATTAAATTAGTTTGCTCTAATCTTCATGATGGAGTCTGTTAAACATTAGGCCTAGTAAATAGAGCAAGGAAACCATAGACCAGGATTTGAAGTAGATTGTTCCTCTCATTTTCAAGGATTTAACAGTAAAATTAGTTTCTTTTATTTAACAGAAATTACACATGCTTATAATTTTAATGTATAGTAATAAGAATATGGATTTTCTCAAGACTCTCTAAATCTTAAATGTCAAGTTGGTGATCACTGAAGTAATATCTTTATTTGGTAATAAAATCATTTTAACTTCAAGATGTTTTAAGTGACATTAAAATATCTTCTGTTTACTGTCCTTCATGCTGAGTGCTGTACTCTGAAGAAGGTATCATTATTGTAGGTCTATAGATGAGAAAGCTCTAAGAGACTAAGTTTTCAAAAGCTGCTTAAAACCCAGAGTCAGAATTTGAATACAGGTACCCTTGACTAGAAAGGCCATCTTTCCACTGTGTCTCTTTTTCACTCACCTTAAAAGAATATGTATAATGTGGTAAAACATGCACATACATATGTGATGCAGGTTTAGAAAGCCATCTAGAAAATACTGAAAAGCTATGAGATCAAGGGTAATCTAACAATGCAGGGCTAAGCCCTGTGAACATTTTAGCATGTACTCCTTGTCTTTCTCTTTTGCAAACACACATGGTAAAGGAAGTCTCCATGTTTTCATTTATGTTACACACTGTACTCTCTCAGTACTGCTTCAGTGCTGACATTAGCTGTGTGGGTTTTCCACTCATCAGAGGGTCCTATGACACCAGCAGAGCCCCCTGCAATTTAACTCAGTTCCGATGCTCTTTCTACCTGGAGACAACACCAGATCCCAGAGGCTAAGCGTTCAAGTCCTATGAGACTCCCTCCTCACCCGCTAGTTACTTGTGCTTCTGAGTCACAGATCAGAGATTTCCATGATCCACTCCTCAGAAACGGTTAATATGCCAGAGCTGCTCCCCTGACTGAGCATCGGCTGTAGGAATGAGGTGCACAGGCACCCTGTGATGGAGAGGCACAGAGCTCACACGCCCTCTGCAAAAGTGTGCCAGTCTTCCAGCACCACTCGCCGCGGTTGCCCAGCCAGAAGCTTGCCAAGCCCCATCTTCTGGGTTTTTAGGAATGCTTCATTAGATAGGCATGATTGATCCAGTCATTGGCCATTGATGATGGATTCAGTTTCTAGCCCTTCCCTAAATTTCCAACCTTCTAATTTTGGTTCCCTTGGCAGCTAAGGGCTTTCCAAAAGCCACCTCATTAACATAAACACAAGTGTGGTTGAAAAGAGGTTTGTTATAAATAACAAAAGCCACCTTTGTCTTCTCCCTTAGGAGATTTTTTTTTTTTTAAGTATTTTTTTATTTATTTGAGAGAGAGAGAGAGAGCTTGCTTGAGCAGGGAGAGGGACAGAAGTTGGAGGGAGAAGCAGACAACTCTATGCTGAGCAGGGAGTCTGACCCTGCTCCATCCCGGTGTTAAAGGGTTACAGGGATCTTGTCTCACAGAGCTGAAGAATGAATCTCCCAGACACAAAAGGGTGAAGTGATGTGAAAGTTCATTAAGTGAAGGTGAGAACAGAAGGGAAAGAAAAAGCTCTCTAGAGTGAGAGGGGTCCCAAATGGGCTGTCACTGAGGGCTTTTAGGCCTGTCTTTTATCGAGAACTCGACCAGGGAGCTTGGGGCCTTGAGATTCTTGTGCCATCTTGGTCTGAACAAGGACAATTGATGACACCCTTACTGACTGACTGACTTTGAGGTTTGGTCATTTTCTTTCTTTCTTTTCTTTTTAAGATTTTATTTATTTATTTGACAGAGAGATCACAAGTAGGCAGAGAGAGAGGGAACCAGGCTCCCCACTGAGCAGAGAGCCTGATGCGGGACTCGATCCCAGGACCCTGAGATCATGACCCGAGCTGAAAGCAGAGGCTTAACCCTGAGCCACCCAGGCACCCCGGTTTGGTCATTTTCTGTGATTCCCTGTAGCCGGCATAGAAAAATACTCCCTAACATCTGGGGCCAGGTGGTCTGGTCTATTCCCTGATCTCTTGTTCACTCTTTCAGAACCTAGCTAAGGGACCCCTGTCTCTTCCTGCCTACATCTGAGTCCTTTCCTTACTCACCAGGACCCTGGGATCATGACCTGAGCCCGAATGACTGAACCACCCAGGTGCCCCCACTTAGGAGATTCTAAGGGTTTTTTTAGGAGCTCTGCCAAATATATATATATTTCATAAATATAAATATATATATATATACATATTTCTTATAAATCATAGTATCGTACACATATACCCATGACAATCCATATCTAAAATTAGTTGACTTCTATTTATACTTACCTAAGAAAAGTCCATTCCGCTATTTCTGCACTATCAGGAGTGGAAAGAGAAATATATATATGATGGAAATTATTATATTCTCTATATTAGTGTTGATCCAAGTGCTGATTTGATAAATTGTTACCAGTCTAACTGGAAATAAGGAAAATGTTAATGATAATGAAAATGAACTTAACATAATAAAAGAATGTCTTATATTCTGAGTTACTTTAATCACTTTTGGAGAATTAATACATTGTTTCCTCAATGAAATGTTGGTAAAACTGAGGTGTATTGTTATAGGTGATGATAGTGATGTTGTTACTTCGCAAAACACAACAACAAAACAAGGGTAATCCTATCTTGTTCCCTGCTTCAGGTTTTTAAAATTTTATTTTACTGCTTCCTGACATTTACAAGCCTTGTCACGATCATCTTATGCAACTTCTTGTAATTAACAACAGAAGTATTTGACCCAGTGCTATTTGACCTCGGGTTACATTACATTTATTAATTTTTCACCCTTACTTTTTATTGAGTCCTTTTTTTCTTTTCCATTTCCAGTACCTGGTCATGGATTATTATGTTGGTGGGGATTTGCTTACTCTGCTCAGCAAATTTGAAGACAGATTGCCTGAAGATATGGCTCGATTTTACTTGGCCGAGATGGTGATAGCAATCGATTCCGTGCATCAGCTGCACTATGTGCACAGGTGAGTAAGAGGCCACACAAGAATGGGTTCTGTGAGTGCCAGCAGAGCTGTCTTTGCAGGAAAATGATACTTTTGATGGCCATGGGGTAATTTTTTTCTCTGTAAACTATTTGACAGGGACAGTGATTTATTTAAAGTCTTCCTCACAAATGTGTGTTTGATTGTATACAGTTTAAGATGAAATGAAAAGAAAAAAGTGAGCTTCTTTACAAAATAGTTTTTTATACAGGATTATTCTTTTTTTTTTTAAAGTTTTTATTTAAACTCCAATTAACATACAGTGTAATACTGGTTTCAGATGTACAATATAGTGATTCAGCACTTCCATACATCACCCCATTCTCATCACGACAGGTGCACTCCTTAATCCCCATTACCTGTTTCCCCCATTTCCCACACACTTCCCCTCAGGTAACCAGCAGTGTATGCTCTGGAGTTATGAGTCTGTTTCTTGATTTGTGTCTCTCTCTCTCTTTTTTCCCTTTGCTCATTTGTTTTGTTTCTTAAATTCCACATGTGAGTGAAATCATGGTATCTGTCCTTCTCTGACTGACTTATTTTGCTAATCATAATACTTTAGCTCGCTTCTTATCTCTGAAAATGGTAAGATTTCATTCTCTTTTATGGCTGAGTAATATTCCATTGTATATGTACACCACATCTTCTTTATCCGTTCATCTATTGACGGACACTGGGGCTATTTCCATAGTTTGGCTATTGTAGATAATGCTGCTATAAACATCAGGGTGCCTGTATCCCTTTGAATTAGTATTTTTGTACTCTTTGTGTAAATACCTAGTTGTGCGATTGCTGGATCGTAAGATACTTGCATTAACATTTTGAGAACCTTCCATACTGTTTTCCAGAGTGGTTGCACCAGTTTGCATTCCCACCAACAGTGCACGAGGGTTCTCCTTTCTCCATGTACCAGATTATTCTTACACCTGTTGACACAAGCTAAAAATCTCCTTCTAATGTAAACAGCTCATAATAATTTATGTGTAATAAAAAAATTTTAAATGTATTGTGTACTTTAAAAGGCAGTCTCGCATTTTAAAAGGGGAGAGCGTAGGAAACAATCACAGAGTTACTGGTGAATGAATCATTCAAATGAGGAAAGCTTTGGGTTGTGAGAACCATGAGAGAGACTAGGCGCTAGGAAGAAGCAAATGGAGGACCCGCTACTTCGGAGAGGGCAGGAACCATCCTCTGAGACATCAGCACACGTCAGAATGAGGCAGAGGGTTTGCTGTGACCCACTTCGTTGGGTCTACACCAGGGCTTCTGAATCCATAGGGTGGGTGGGGCTGGGAATTGGCATTTCTGATAGGTTCCCAGGTGCTGCTGCTGGTCCAACGACCAGACTCTGAGCCCTTCTGTTCAGTAACACAGCAGTGCCTGTTCCTTTTAAGTGGTGGCTGATACACGTGATCTCTGTGAAGGACAGGAGCCCAGGTAGAAGAGAAAGTTTCTGTTTTAGTGTTGCTTTTTTTTTTTTTTTAAAGATGTGGATATTTTCAGCTGATTGATTTACTTAGTACTGAACTTCTAGGACATTAGAAAAGGAAGAATATTTTGATTAAAAATTTTGTATTTAGGAGATCTCAGTTTGGCTACTGCCTATTCATATGCTTTCCCCTGTTGATACCTAGTAGTCACAAAGTTTTTTAAAAATAAAACCATGAATATACTATGAAAATTATAAAACACAGTGCAGTTTTTAAGATGGTATTATGGTCTTAAGAGCGAATTATGGAATGAGAAACTAAAGTGCTTTTGTTATGGGAACTCAAGATCCCAGCTGAGAACTGTCATTTAAAAATATTTTTTTCTGGGGCGCCTGGGTGGCTCGGTGGGTTAAAGCCTCTGCCTTCGGCTCAGGTCATGATCCCAGGGTCCTGGGATCGAGCCCCGCATCGGGCTCTCTGCTCGGCAGGGAGCCTGCTTCCTCCTCTCTCTCTGCCCGCCTCTCTGTTTACTTGTGATCTCTGTCTGTCAAATAAATAAATAAAATCTTTTAAAAAAATATTTTTTTTCTAATTTTTTCTAAATTTAATTTTATTTTTTCAGTGTTCTAAGACTCATTTTTTATGCACCACACCTAGTGCTCCATGCAATACGTGCCCTCCTTAATACCCACCACCAGGGTCACCCAGTCCCCCACTCCTTCCCCTCCAGAACTCTCAGTTTATTTCTCAGAGTCCATAGTCCCTCATGGTTCATCTCCCCCTCCAATTTCCCCCAACTCACTTCTGCTCTCCTTCGCCCGATATCTTCTGTGTTATTCCTTATGTTCCACAAGTAAGTGAAACCATATGATAATTGACTTTCTCTGCTTGACTTATTTCACTCAGCATAATCTCTTCCAGTCCTGTCCATGTTGATACAAAAGTTGGGCATTCATCCTTTCTGATGGAGGCATCATTGTATATATGGACTATATCTTCTTTACCCATTCGTCTGTTGAAGGCAATCTTGGCTCTTTTCACAGTTTGGTGACTGTGGCCATTGCTGTTATGAACATTGGGGTACAGATGACCCTTCTTTTCATTACAGCTGTATCTTTGGGGTAAATACCCAGTCGTACAATTGCAGGGTCATAGAGTAGCTCTATTTTTAATTTTTTGAGGAATCTCCACACTATTTTCCAAAGTGGCTGCACCAACCTTCATTCTCACCAACAGTGTGAGAGGGTTCCCCTTTCTCCACATCCTCTCCAACACTTGTTTACTGTTTTGTTAATTTTGGCCATTCTAACTGGTGTAAGGTGGTATCTCAATGTGATTTTGATTTTAATCTCCCTGATGGCTAATGATGATGAACATTTTTTCATGTGTCTGTTAGTCATTTGTATGTCTTCTATGGAGAAATGTCTTTTCATCTCTTTTGCCCATTTTTTGACGTGATTATCTGTTTTTTGAGTGTTGAGTTTGAGGAGCTCTTTATAGATCTTGGATATCAGCCCTTTGTCTGTAGTGTCATTTGTGAATATCTTCTCCCATTCCGGGGTTTGCCTCTTCGTTTTGTTGATTGTTTTCTTTGCTGTGCAGAAGGTTTTGATCTTGATGAAGTCCCAAAAGTTCATTTTCACTTTGGTTTCTTTTGCCTTTGGAGACATGTCTTGAAAGAAGTTGCTGTGGCTGATGTTGAAGAGATTACTGCCTATGTTCTTCTCTAGACTTTTGACAAGATTCCTGCCTCACGTTGAGGTCTTTTATCCATTTTGAGTTTATCTTTGTGTGTTTTGTAAGAGAATGGTCAAGTTTTATTCTTCTATACATAGCTGTCCAGTTTTCCTAGCACCATTTATTGAAGAGACTGTATTTTTTCCACGAAATATTTTTCCCTGCTTTGTCGAAGATTATTTGACCATAGAGTTGAGGGTCCATATCTGGGCTCTCTACTCTTTTCCACTGGTCTATGTGTCTGTTTTTGTGCCAGTACCATGCTGTCTTGGTGATCCCAGCTTTGTAGTAAAGCTTGAAATCAGGCAACGTGATGCCCCTAGTTTTTTGTTTTTTTGTTTTGTTTTTTGTTTTTTTTTTTTTTCCTCTCAACATTTCCTTAGCAATTCGGGGTCTCTTCTGGTTCCATACATATGTTAGGATTGTGTTTGTTCCAGCATTTTGAAAAATGCCAGTGAAATTTTGATTGGGTTGGCATTGAAAGTATAGATTGCTCAGGGCAGTGCAGACATTTTAACAATGTTTATTCTAATCCATGAGCATGGAATGCTTTTCCATCTTTTTGTGTCTTCTTCAGTTTCTTTCATGAGTGTTCTGTAGTTCCTCGAGTACAGATCCTTTACCTCTTTGGCTAGGTTTATTCCCAGGTATCTTATGGTTCTTGGTGCTATAGTAAATGAAATTAATTCTCTAATTTCCCTTTCTTTATTTTCATTGTTAGTGTATAAGAAAGCAACTGATTTCTGTGCATTGATTTTGCATCCTGCCACATTACTGAATTGCTGTATGAATTCTAGTACTTTGAGGGTGGAGTCTTTTGGGTTTTCCATATAAAGTATTGTGTCATCTGCCAAGAGAGAGAGTTTGACTTCTTCTTTGCCAATTTGAATACCTTTTATTTCTTTTTGTTGTCTGATTGCTATTGCTAGGACTTCTAGTACTGTGTTGAACAAAAGTGGCGGGAGTGGCCATCCTTGTCGTGTTCCTGATGTCAGTGGGAAAGCTGTCAGCTTTTCCCCATTTAGAATGATATTTGCTGTGGGTTTTTCATGGATAGATTTTATGAAGTTGAGGGATGTTCCCTCTCTCCCTGTACTTTGAAGCATTTTAATCAGGAACGGATGCTGTATCTTGTCAAATGCTTTTTCTGCATCAATTGAGAGGACCATGTGGTTCTTCTCTCTTCTCTTGTGATTTGTTCTATCACATTGATTGATTTGTGAATGTTGAACCACACTTGCATCCCAGGGATAAGTCCCACCTGATCATGATGGATAATCTTTTTTATGTATTGTTGGATCTTATTAGCTAAGATCTTGTTGAGAATTTTGGCATCCATATTCATCAGGAATATTTGTCTGAAATTATCTTTTTTAATGGGGTCTTTGCCTGGTTTGGGGATCAGGGTAATGCTGGCTTCATAGAAAGAGTCTGGAATTTTTCCCTCTGTTTCTATTTTAAGGAAACAGCTTCAGGAGAATAGGTATCATTTCTTCTTTGAATGTTTTGTATAATTCTCCAGCGAATCCATCAGGCCCTGGACTCTTGTTTTTTGGGAGGTTTTTGATCACTGCTTCAATCTCATTACTAGATATTGGTCTTTTCAGGTTGTCATTTTCTTCCTGATGCAGTCTTAGAAGTTTATACTTTTTCAGGAATGCATCCATTTCCTCTGAGTTGCTTAACTTATTGGCATATAACTATTGATAATAATTTCTGATAATTGTATTTATTTCCTTGGTGTTAATCATGATCTTTCCCCTTTCATTCATAATTTTATTAATTTGGGTCTTCTGTTTTTTCTTTTGGATTAGT